GTTGATTTGCAACTGTATTTTTTCTGTTTTGGCACATACTTATATATGAACCTCATTAAATTCGATCTCAAAATAGCGAATATAAAGGAACAGATATTTTAAAGTCTTAATAAATTCCATTGAGCACAAAACTAATCCAAATTCGATTTCAATTATTTCGTGATTCTAAAATACGTTTTTTTGTGGCAGAAATTGCAATTATGTTTTTTATCTGATATGACTTTGAAACACTGATTTAAGATTTATATTGTCCACAAAATATCATAAAATATAAGGGATAAAAAAGACGCTTTTCTATTATTTTTTTTACAAGGTTGTTAATTGTTTAATTATGTCGTAATTTGCTTGGTCAGTGGCGGATTCAGGAGCCGACATATCGCTTCCCCTTTGATTGGATAATATATCATTTTTAGCATAATTAAAATCATCATTTTTTTTATCCTGGCTACACTGTTGTCCAATCAAATGCCAGCAGAAACCTGTCAATAAAAAGGTTATTGCAAGCGTGGATAAGTTAGAGATTTGATTGTGTATTCGATATTTGAACAAAAAGTTAGATAATCACTATTCGTTTAGAATTAAATTGCGAAGAAAGTGTTCGTGTAACAACCCTCCCCTTTTCCCGTTTTCGCCTTCTTATTTTTACACTTTCTTTTTTAACAGAAAGTATTAAATATGAGCGTACTGCAAGTTTCTGAATTTTACAAGCATTCTATATAGCGACTTGTGATTTCCGGGAACGTCATATTTTCAAGATTTCACAGACCTCTGAAAAAGTTAGAACATACAAGTTTCATCTACCATTTGCAGAAAAAACAATACCAAATTATATTTGTAAATTGGAAGAGATTAAGAATTATAGTTTAATATCCGTACTAAAAATCGTCTGAAATATAACAAAACATATTTCTCTCTGCCTCAATGCAATCGAAAGCAAATTTTCATTTTATTCTTCATCTATTTGCAAAAGACGAAGAATTCTCCTTAAAACTGTAAATTATTAAACAGGCATACTAACTTTAAAGGATAAAATACAAGTTTGTACTACCATCCAAGGAAATAAGTGTTCCATAAAGTAACTAATCCTTAATTCACAACCGTCAAAACTCAGGACTCATTTTTGATATTTACCTGAGAGATCATAAAGGACATACATCTACCAAGAACTTATTCTAACCAAAATGGCAAAAATGAAACAATATCTATTTTTTTTTTTGGTAGGCGAGTAGAAAATTGAATAAGGAAATGTTATTGAAAGAGAATTAAGATATATGATAATTTTTCCAAGCAAAGTGGCAAAAACATGCATATATAGAGTTATGTAGGTGCAAAACAAAACTATATATTAATAGTCAATTTCGACTATTTAATAAAGGATTATAGGTCGAACACGACACACGATTCTTGATTTCCAATGTACATGATTTAAAACCGTGTTTTTTCTTCTACAGATTGCATTTTGAAGAACACATGCTTGGCCATGATCGTTGAATGTTCAGCGTACAATATTACATAATATTCAGGATGATTTCAACGAAAAGCAAACGAAAAAGATTTATTTTTTTAAATCCGAGCATTCCTTAAATTCAACATTTAAAACCGTTTTGTTTTACGCAAAACATATAAAATTGAGAATGACTGATGTACTTTTTATTCTCTCTAACACTTAGGATTGGTAGTCCCGACAGCTTTCTCTCCATTAGTAAGGGAGGTCCTGGGTAAGGGAGGTCCTATTCTTAACAGTAAGCAAACACTGAAAAGTCACAGGACAAAAAGTCACAGGACAGGAAGTGACAATTGTTTAAGTATGTAAGAGAAATATCTTGAAAAATTACTTTGTATTACATATATTCTTTTTACAGTTTATGAAATTGTTCATTAGCCTTGGTAAATGAAGATTTATTAAATTTTAATCATGCAAATGATATAATATTTCTTAGCACCATGAAGCTGTTTAGGTACCAATCCACTTTGATAGTTTGTTTACTAAACAATTATTTGTTCATTTAATACATTTGTATACAGAGTTGGTTTATATATACAATAGTTCAAGATACATACAAAATATATTTTTTTAAATAAGTATTTTCTCTTTTTCAAAGAAAATAGTCTCAGAAACTGAATTGTGACCTTTCGTCTGTGACCTTTTGTCCACAAGCACGCATTATTTATGAGTAAAGTTGGAACAAAGGTCAATTTGGCTCTGATTCACAACAATTGTTCTCTTGTAAACATGACCTTTTTTGTCGACACGCGCTCGCCGTATCAGGCTAGAACAAACCAATGCATATCAATGTCACATGTGTCTTTTCCTCGACTGAATGTTATTAGCAATATTAATATTGGATACAATTGTAACGTAATGAATTGCATTTGATCCTAGTCCTAAGTTTAATTTTTGGTTGAATCAGTTGAACATCTAAGTGATCATCGATGTGTAATATTTGACACTGGACATTATTTTAGGAGCGATGCAATACAAATAATGTATTTCTATCAATCATTTACTTCAGTTAAAGACTTTTGAATGTAACAATATGGTACAAATCGATTTGATTTACTGAATTGCATATTTCTTTTTATCGAAATGAAAATATTATAAACTGCTCCCGGTTAATATAAACATAGATGTATGTGTGCCAAATAATCATCTCCATCCAAGTTACAAAGTATAAAACAATTATAGATTAAAAATACGGCCTCAACACGGAGCTTTGTCTCACACCGAACAGCAAGCTATAAGGGTCCCCAAAATGACTAGTGTAAAACAATTCAAAATGGAAAAACAAAGGTATAATCTATAAGTACAGTCATTTCGCTACGTTATTCTATAGCTTTTTGGTCAATTTCGAAAAAGCAAGTAAGCATCTCACTGTTTTTTAAATGAGAAGTAACGCTGGTGTTATAAAAAAAATCTGATACGAAACAGAAATATAAACCGTACACAAGATTTTATCAATCGTTGTTTGATATTTTTCTATAAGATTTATTCTTGTATTAGTTCTTGCTAAAAAAACTTGATGATAAAAAAAAATCAAGAGAGGTATCGAAATCGGTCTTTATAGGTACCTAATGGTAAATATAAACTGTCAACTAAATTCTTAAAATATTCTTTATTCTTGTTGCATTTTTTTTGAAAAAATAATGTTTTATTTGTCAATGTAATAATTTTACCCGGTAAATCCTTATATAAGATAAAACATGGAACTTTATTCATTTTACGTCCATAGATAAAACATCATAAGCGTTGCATGGGTAATTATTTAGATAGTTTATGACAACCCGTTTCGGTTGACTGCTTAGATAATCCGTTTATTGAAATGTAAATAACTTTCACCAAGCAACTGTCATCTGTATAATATTTAGAAATTTAAAGTAAATTAGATACTTAGAATATATTTTTCTTGACAAATTGTATATGAATCAGAACTATTATTTAACATTAGAAACAAAAAATGTTTAAGAAAATTTCAGAACATCTTTGGGATATATTACTTATCATTATATCTTTACGGGCGGAATGAATAAATACAGGACTACTTTATGTCAGAAAGCACGACTGCAAAGTTTTAATGACAAACACATTTCCCGGTTAAGACAACTAATCTTTTCTTATATAACCAATTAAATGTTAAAAATTCTATCGGGAAAAAATGAATTGTACGTTTGCATACGTTATTTAATGAAATAGATATACAGTATTACATTAAAAGACCACAAAAGAATATCCTCCTAGCTATGCCGATTTTATTCATAAAGGGGAGTAACCCCTGATAAACACAGATAAAGTGTCGCTCGTTTTATTTAAAATATTTAAAATCTTAACACGACTGAACACGATCTTACAGCAACTAAACAGATTTTTTACCTTTGGTCTTATTTTATCTGAACGTGATCTAATCAAGTCTTATTTGAACGCTAGAAGAATCTGTCTTGTTTATCTTGACCCGACTGATATGACTGAACACGATATATCGGAACAGAGTCTGAAAGTCTAAACCGGTCTTAACGTTTTTCCCTAGCAGTAAATCAAGGCGATTAAGACTTGATCAGACCAAAATGACCGTTTCAGACTTAAATCTTGCTACTAGTGTTCTTCAGCAAATTCAATAGTAAAATTTTGCAGCAAGAAGTTAATTATTTCATGTATTTCCTTTGTTTTTTGTTGTTGAGATTCAAACTTATGATTGACCCAGTTGTGTATATGTGTATACATTAGTCTTTGTATAGTTTTAGATTCCTGTTAGAAAAACAATTTCTAGAAGGAATTATAAAAAATTCCTGCCAGGTTGTCTGGTCAGAAGTTTATTTTCCTGCTAATTGAATATTCATGGTAGAAATCACAAAATTCCTACTAAAAATTCCTGCTAATTTAAATTTTTCGGCTATTTTCCAGGCTGATTCCTACTACATTCTGGTTAGAATATGAACACTTTCCTAGTAGGAATTCTAACATAATTCCTGCTAGATTCTGTGCTAATTTTAAGCGGAATATTTTGTACAGGTGCTGCCACTTACTCTAACATGTTTAAGAAAAACAATTCAAATGTGTCATTGAACAGTTATAATGAATGGATAGAACCAATTGAATACACCCAGACAATATGTTTAAACATTCGATAGAGTGATCAATTATACCAGTACTAGTTATCGAAAGCAAAACTGGAGGTATGAAATTTTATGAAATTGACCGTTTGAATATTGTTACAAAACATATTTAGAACTGCAAATCACTCAGCAGTTTTTGTAGGTTTATTTTTCGATAACGGTTCTTACTGTAAAATTTGTTGTTGACTTTTATTTGATTGCTTTTTCGTTCTTGCCGTGATGTAGAATGTCGATTACCAGTCGGTATTTTCATTTTTTTTTATGAGATAGCAATTTTTGACTACCGGGTAAATTACATAGCCTTATGCTAAACATGATATAACAGCAGTTACTACAATAATTCATATTCAATTGAGTGTGAAGTTTGCAGTTTTGAAATAATGTTGATATACCTCAATAGCTGATGTTGATTCTGGATTCGACATAGGTCTTTTTGGTCTGAATGTTATAAACTTTTGTTGTGCGGCTAATGGGGCATTTCCTTTCCTTGGAAGTTCATGCTCATAATCAAGCTTTTGTTTACCAACCTGGAAAGCAGCAAAATAACCTCAAAAATATTGATAATGCATATATTATCAACGTTCATAGTTATATAAAATATACAAAATTCAACGAACTCAAATTAAACTAGAAAACTTATATTTCAGTAAGGGGCCCGCTTGGCATTACAGAAAACAAATAATTAGATAGTGCGTAAACCTGAAAAGGACAGAGGTGTTTTGAAACCTGTCTAAAAGTTTTTGATTCAAGACAGGAATTAGATTTGCTTAAGTTCATTTATTTTAGTGTATTTGTACTATGGACACTTAATATCAGATTTTCTGGGTTCTCTACAACATATAAAACGACATTTAAAACATGTCTTTAAAAATGTATAAAGGAGAGGCAGAAGATACAAAAGGGACATTGAAACGCATAAGTCGAAGACAGGCAAAGTAAAACGCCACGGCAAAAAAAAGAAAAACGACCTAAAATTCAGTCTTCAAAACAGAACATAGAAAACTATTAAATGATATAGCAACACGAACCCCACCAACATCCAAAGATGATCTCAGTTGCGCTGGGAGAGTAAGCAGATTCCGCTCCTTTGGTACATTTTCGGTTTTTGCCATGGCGTTGTCTGTGCGGTCATCGACGTATGAGTTTGAATATACATATGGTATCTAAATTCTATCTTTTAAAAGCAGATCTGACATCCATAGCTCCTATGATAGCATTTAAGCGACCAAACCAACAACGAATTGCTAGCTTAAGCGATCATCATATCGCCAAATTAGCTATATCCTTCAACCCCTCAAGTTCGTCCAACCCGCAAGTTCGTCCGCCTTCATTGTTTACATTTATCGCGCATGCGGAAGACTCGTGACGTCACTTTCCAGCTGAGCGGCGTTCTATATATAGTAAAAAACAATGTGAAAAAGCAAAACCAAAACATGAGGTTGAAACAGGTAAATAGTCATAAAATTAGAAAAATCTTTGTCAAAATTGCCATTTTATTAAGTCCCTTTTCTATCTATCTTTAAATCGACTTTATGATTGTAAAACACGGGGGAAATCCCTTCGAAGCCCAGTTGCCGGTTTATTTACATTCCAGTGATTACGACCCGTGACCTACAAAAGTATGACAGGCCAAGCAAACATTAAAATTGTAAGTAACAAATATGGAAATTTTCAGGAATTTTTTGCACAGATTATGAAAAATTCGGGAAAAATGATAAATTATCGCCATAAAATGGCTCTACTGCCATATGTATTTTTCCCCACAACATCATGGTTGCAAAAAAGGGTATGACTTTGTTAATTCCTGACCAATATTAACGATAGAGTGCTCAAAATTAAGTTGAGAATTTTCTCTTTACATACACTGATATACATATATACATATACACAATGTTAAAACAAAAAATACAGCAATAAAACAGAAAGACATCACATTACATTTCAGGCTAAACCTACTTTCCTCAGGCATGATAAAAAGTACAGGCTGTACAGTCCTACGGCTTTGACTAATGCATGCATATCAGTACGGAATAAAGAAATGTCCCAAAGAAAAGCAGCTCTACAATTTAATGACCCTAGGCAAACTCTGCGTGATAGAATCACTCGAAAAATAAGTCCAGATTGTGTCACCACTAGGAGGGCACCTGTCTTTTCACTTGAAGAGGAGGCACGGATTGTGGAACATGTAAAGTCCATGGCTTCATATGGATATGGGTACACTAGACAAGAAGTTACAGATCTGGCTACTGATTTTGCCCACACAATCAATATTAAACCAAGAAATGAAGAATTTACCTTGAGATGGTTTGAGGGTTTCATAAAAAGATGGCCAGAACTTAGAGAAATTAAACCTAGAAGTTTGGAGATTCAACGTGCAAAATGTGGTTCTGTTGCTACAGCCCTTGGATGGTGTAAACTTCCCAAAAAAACGTGTATGGTGTAATGGTGTATGGCATATGGTGCAATGGTAGAAGGTGTATGGTGCTATGGTGTATGGTGTAAGGGGAATGGTGTAATGGTGTAACATGCGATCGGAAATGGTGTGAATGAATGGTGTACGACATTTAAATCTATGCAAAATATTGATAAGAACTGATTTTTATTTTTATACATTAATTTACAATATTGTGATCAAAATTCGTTATTTAAAATGAATAAATAATTTTGTAGTCGCACGCTTTCTTTGAAATTAAATTGCATTATGGTGTAATGTGTAAGGTGTATGGTGCAAAGGTGTGACGTGTATGGTGTAATGGCACAGGGTGTATGGTGTAATGGTGTATGGTGAATGGTGTAATGGTGTATGGTGTTAGTGGGAAGTTTACACCATCCAAGGACTGTAATGTTGAAAAGTACTTTGTAAGCTTAGAGCAAGTTGTTCACAAATATAATCTTCAGGATAAACCACATCTCATATTTAATATTGATGAGAAGGGTATAACACTGAATCATAAACCACCTAATGCTGTATCTGGAATTGAAGGTAACACATCATCAGTAACATCTGGAAGGTCTAGTACTACGACCATACTTGGCTTTGGAAGTGCCTCAGGATTTGCTGTACCTCCATATTTTGTATTTGAAGGGAAAAGAATGATGAATGAATTGATGAATGGCGCAACACCTGGTGCTGTTGGTGCAGTATCAGACTCAGGATAGTCCAATACCAACATATTCAGACAAAATTTGACTGACCATTTTCTTAAATATATCCCTGGCAGAAACAATGACAACATACTTCTACTCCTTGATGGGCATAAGTCACATGTTGCAGTTGATATAATTGAATGGGCACAGCAACACCACATCATCATTCACATCTTACCAGCTCATACCTCACACATATTACAACCTTTGGATGTTGGATGTTATGGGCCGTTGCAACGTATTTATGATAATGAATGTCACAAAACCATGCGTCAGAACTCCTCAGTCATAACCAGATACAACATATGTGAACTAGCCTGCAAAGCAAACCAGAAAGCACTATCCTCAGAAAACCTTCAGTCAGCATTTAGGAAGACTGGAATTTACCCCCTGGATACAAATGTCATCAACAAAGATCAACTGAAACCATCAGAGGTATTTACAACAAATGATAAATGCAAAGAAACTACGGATGAACCAAAAACAGATGATATACAAGTAGTTAAAATTGATACGAACGGAGAAGTAACGGAAGTTGTTGAAAGTGCTGTGACTGATATTTTAGTTGTTGAAGATTTGCAAGATCATGATGTTACTTTTCCACACTTTTTTGCCGAAAGAATAAACAAACTAAAGAAAATTAAGTCCGAAAATGACAAGAAAGAAAGAAAAACCCTTGGAAAGATTGTATCCGGTATGCCCATAACTGAAACTGAGGTAGCAGAAAAGGTAAAACAGCATGTTGAAAAACCAAGGAAAAAATAAATCAACCAACCAGAGTAGTAAGAAAACTGGGAAACAAAATAAAAAGAAACCGTCCACTTCTGCTTCACCACTTACACTTGGACCTAGCCACACTAAACTTAGACCTATCCGCACATCAACTAAACCAGGACCTAGCAACACTTCTCCTAAACCAGGACCTAGCCACATATATATAGATGATTCCATGGACTTCATCGATACAGACAATGAAGAAATTCCAGAAATTGAATTATGCTGTGTATGTAAACAGTTCACCCCAAATCAAATTAGACTTGGAGTTGGTGTTGAATTTACCAAATGGGTGCAGTGTGACAATTTTAGGTGCAAGCACTGGACACATCTCAAATATTGTACAGAGCTGAGGGCTGTGAGGAGGAATACCAAGTTTTACTGCATACATTGCAAGGACATGGACTAGACAATTTTGCACAATTTGTTTGTTATTGTTACTTGTTGAATATTTTATCGTTAAATTTTATTTTTTGTTACTTTTTTTCAATACTTACCTTTTTAGATTAACTTTGAACAAAAAATGCGAAAATGCAATGTGCTTGGCCTAATCTGTGTGACGTCACAAGGTTGTACATCCGGTGGACGAACTTGAGGAGCGAAAGTAGAACAGGCATTGATTTCAAGTAAGTGTTCACTGTTGCTTTTTCGTTATACTACGGTCTTTTGTTGATTATTTTGCATATCAAAGTTTAGATTTTTATTGAATCTTTATGCCTGCAAAGCGGTTCTAATAAAAATGGCTAGTGAAGTGAAGGTCAATGACAACGTTACGTTCATCTTTGACGACTTTTCATAGTGCAGAGAAAGCTAGTCCGAGGAAAATCTGATTAAAATCAGATCTTTCACTTTTCTCGAGCTCTATTTGATTTGCTTGTTAACAACGTTGCTCGTGTAAGATCTAAAAGAATTTCTAGCGATAAAGCTTTATTTGATATTGTCCTATATATTATTTAAACAAACTACCTATAAAACTTAAGTCAAGTTCAAATTTATCTTTTACTGTTTGTAAAGACTCTATTGATCTTGATTTCTCGAGGTAGTTGTTTATGATTTATGAGTTAAATTGTATATAAAGTTTGTGTTGTTGTTTTTATTTTACTTACACTTTTTGAATATTGGTGGTATTGAAACAAATCAGGGCAATCAATTGTAAACGCTACTATTTTGATCTAGTTTCGAATTTGAATCTACACGAGCTGAGTCCATTTACAAGTATTTGAATTCAACGTGTGCAACCAATACTAGATAGCACTGGAGTCAATGTTTGAAGACAGTGTTATAATTGTGGTAACAGTATCTTTGTTAACGTCGAATATACCCCACAACCTATTAACTAAGAGCGGCAAAAAATACTAATGGGATAATCAAACTCATTAGTCAAAAACTGACTGACAATCCCATGGCAAAAAACCAAAAACGACGAAATGATAAACATCAGTATACAAAACACAACACAGAAAACCAAAGAATGACCAAATCCAGAGGTCACCTCATGATCTCCGATATTAGCCATATCCTAATTAGAGGGCATGTAGTATGATGGGATTGGGTATTCATGGTGTTTGTACACATAAACATCCCAAGTAAGAGATAAAGGATTAATGAAATCCTTATCCTAGAATGCATGCTTTCTCACTGATGTACTTTAAGTAATATTAAACGCTTATTACAAGATTATTGGTAAATATTGTAGAAAATGATTATCAAATCGGCATAATTGTTATTACATCATCGTTAATATTAACATTTTTTTTGTATATAATGTTCTGAACAAATAAAACTTACATCCGTTTTCCGTAGTGGATTCTGTTTGCCTGTGACATCAAGTTTGTCGTCAGGAATTGTGTCGTAATCCTGTAACAGGGATATGTATTTTATTTTTCCTATTTAATATTGTTTTACTATAATTGCTTACATCTTTCTTCTTTCACCAATGTTTCAAAATAACTATAAGAAGGTTTAAGTTCTATTGGTAGTTCATTAACATTTTGGGTACTTGATTAAATTGAATCATTACCTACTTTGATATATTACATCATTTTCTTGGTAACAAGAAATATCTATAGAGTACTAATTTACTTGAGGAGGCTCATGCGTGCATAACATTTCTTTGTAACATAATAAGATGACTGAAATTTGATTATGCAAATTTATACAGTCGAAAGAGTCCTCGTGATACATTGTATCAAACTTCTTCATAAAAAAGCTAAATACAGGACAACTAGCTCTTTTGAGGCTGCAAAAAGTATTTCTCAAATAAAACGCAACACAATTTTGCTCTGTCATGTGCATAACATGTTACAATAGAAATTTATCAAGTAAGTTAACATTTAATAGGATGATATGAAGATATGATACAAGGTATAAGATATTAACAAAAGTGTACACTTTTTTCTCAAATGTAAATACATTCATGCATTCACATTATAAATAAAGGCAACAGTAGTATACCGCTATTCGAAATTCATAAAATCGATTGAGAAAAAAAACAAATCCGGGTTACAAACTAAAACTGAGGGAAATACATCAAATATCAAACAACGAAACAACAGAAACACAACACTAAAATGCAACACACACAGAAACGAACTATAATATAACAATGGCCATTTTCCTGACTTGGTAGAGGACATTTTAAGAAAAAATGGTGGGTTGAACCTGGTTTTTTGGCTAGCCAAACCTCCCGCTTTTATGGCAATGTTAAATATAACATTAAAATGACAAGATTACATGACAGGACTACAATACAAATAAATGGGAGAACATACAGAACAGAGACACACACAAATAATAGCTATCAAAAGGTACCAGGCTTATAATTTAATACGCCAGACGCGCGTTTCGTCTACATAAGACACATCAGTGACAAGTACAAAGTTGACGAGCATTGAGGACCAAAAGTTCCAAAAAGTTGTGCCAAATACGGCTACGGTTATATGCCTGGGATAAGAAAATCCATAGTATTTAGAATAATTCATACTTTTGCAAACAGTAAATTTATAAAAATGACTATATAATAGATATACATGTTAGCACCGATGTGGTGACTAACAACAGAATAAAACGAATACGTAAAACAACCTAAATCATCACATAAAAAAGGCACAGCGGAACAACGTATTATATTTTAGCCGAAGAGATCGACGCACAATGTGAAATAAAATATGAAAACTTTATTATTCGGCTATAAAGTACATGATCTTTTGTATCATGATATAAATCTTTTTTTAACTATCTTGATCTATTCAATTCATAAATGTACTTATATATCTTACTATAAACAAAATGGTATAGATGCTTATGCAGGTTTCAGAAATGAACTTTTGACCACATACGAAATTATCAAATTGATTAAAGCTAAAACAGCAAATTTTTAAATGATATAAAAAGATACATATGATCAATAATTAATATCTACTAATTTTAGAAATACGATAATTTTGTAAAATTGCATCATGTATGCATTAAATGGATATGTGCACGTGGTTGAAAAACGGGATGCTTACTGGAAACGAATGTACAGTAGTTGTCTCCAAACTCATTAGCGTATTATCATATGACAGCTCAACCAGAATGTTTTAACAAACTTATTAAGATTCTTAGACTTACCACTGACAATATTTAATGAAGTCAATGATCATTAACTGTACATTTCCCGTAAGCATGTTACTTCATCTATTCCAAAAACGTTTGTATTAACTATGATTGGTTAAACAAACTACTTATAAATATGAATTCACTGGGTAATTTCCCTGGTTATTCAGTGACTAATTCACAGGGATACTCGGCCAACTGCTGTAAGTCGTAAAATTTGTCATAACAGCAAAGGAAAGTGCAATAAAGATGTTGTAGATGATTTTTTTTTATGAAAACCAAAAGTTTACGTTTCTGAGTAATTTTTTTTCAAATTGTACAAACAATATAGTCACTTGAAAAAAATTCACTTGAAAAATGTCACGTGAAGTAAAATTCACATGAAATTTATGTGAAATTAAGGTGGAGTAATGTGAAATTCAAGTCAGCAAAGTTTGCCTGTGTAAGCTTTAGTGCTCTGTATTGGTGCATTTATTTTCTTGATACTGCATATACTGTTGAGATCATGTATGTAATTGTTTTGTCCTATTCCATGAAATTTTACTTCCATCCACGGATGGATGCGTAGTACACATGCTATAATATTTTGCATGTATAATTTTATACATGGAGTAAAAGAACTCTCAAAAATTAACATAAGACAATTACTGTCATTTCATACAATTTCAGTGTCTTCATTAAATAGTAATGACAATTTCCGTTTATGTAATATTCATGATATTGTTATCCCCCTCCCCTCTTTCCCATTAAGAGCGGTTTCTTCTGGAATGAACTTCAGATTCGTAAAGTGTACCCTCGTGTCTCTCGCATACAACTTACATGATGTGTGCCTTTAGATACGTGTTCTCTAAATAGTGAGTTAGCATCTAAAGGTTGCTTTATAGCTGCTTTAGATAACAAAGGCGAGTCAATTCTGGTACGTTGTTTCTGAACAGTGGGTACACCATATTTCGGGGTATTCATTACACCATATTCAGACTTCACAAAGAACGATGGTCCTGGAATATCAGTTATCTCCCACCATTCTCCCACTTGTTTAATCAGGTAGTAAACCTGGCCTTTTTTCATAAAAGCAACTTGTTGATTGTCGACAACATGAGTGTAGTTGGATAGTGCTTCAATTTTGACATGAGGAAAGTCCGCATACCTAACTTCGTTAAGATCTATTTTCTCATAAGTAGTTCGCTAAAATTATTACAAACCTGATTATAGTAGACGTTCATTTACATAACTTATAGTTTAAAATACGCCTTTTTCATTTCAAATTAGATCACAGACAGCTTATAATGATAAAAGGTATTTTAAGAAGGTATTTTTTTAGACCTAAAAAGTACAGAAAAAAAAAGTTAAACAACAAATCTTAAATACAATGTCATATGACATTTAACATTGAATATACTACTCAGCTGCCATGACAAGAGCCGACCCAGATTACAGTATTTCTTATTATTGTGTTTGTAAGAAACTTTCGGTTTTCATGTTCCTAAACTTTTTTTGTGTAAAAATTGCAACGATAAACCTCTGTTGAGGTTAACGGTGTCCACTTATTCTCATAATTAATATTTTTACATATTCATTGATATTTCTGTCAGTCTCACAAGGAAACGTTTGACAGTAGCCATAATGTCGTTGTTGTTATAATTATTTGAATGATCAATTTTCAACGACAGTAGACAGTTGATAGATCCTTCACTTACATGATGGTGAAATGTCTTTATGTGATTCCGTTTTATAATTTGGACGTCATATATTTTAGGGGGCCAAATCAACAGTTTATCTACCAGATTGATCCACGAAAACAGTGATGATATTTATTTTTATACAAACACTCATTTGATAGTCATAATTTAAAAGTTGTATAAATATAGGAATAACCATGATATAGATAACAGGAAATATAGGTTATATAAAACATCAACCTAAAAATAAAGAAACCAAAGAGGCATCTTAGAATCTCTTACGATTTTTAACAAATAGAAGTTATTAATTCAATTTATAATAATTCCCGTTAAAATGCAAGATTGTTATTGGGTAATACGAGGCAGGCATTTTACTCTATTCTATGGCTTCATTGGCGATATTTTTTAAATGGAATCCTCTTGTGCATACCAATTATAAATTGATAAATAAAAGAAAATGCTCAAGATCTACGTTTCATCCTCAGACCTTTTTCATAGACTGTCAACAAAAATAATTACGTCTTGCCTTACCGTTGTTGCTTATCTAATAACTGTAACGTATTTATGTTCATGACGTCATAGTTATATCTTTTAATTTACAACTTAAAAGACAATGATTAAAGACCATTCCGTAAAATAAATTAAATAACTTATTAAGTAACCTCTCATGAAATCGTGTTTAACCTTGGCTAAGCCTCGGCTAACAATGTTTTCTCGGGTTAACAATCTCTAAATATGTTTATCTGTGGGTCTGCACTAAATACAGATATATCAAGAATTGTATCCAACTGGTGCTTATAAAGCAAAAACAGCACGTAATATTATAAGCAAAGACAAGAGCTACTAATAATAGTAAAGTTTCTATTTGTATCGCAATTTAACTTGCCATTAACAAGGGGTCGCAATAGGAGCGGTATCTGCTTTTCATACCGGAGCACATTAGCTCACCCTCAGTTTTTATTTGGGTTGGTGTTGTTCAGATAGTTTTCTGTATGGTTCATTGTGAACTGTTTGTTTCCCGTTCTTCTCGTATCTTTTGGAAATTGTGCTTTTTGCGCGACGAATGGTTTTTGATTACCCCTTTGCAACGACATATCGCCGCGTTCGCTTGAACAATGCTGTTCTTCGTCTCAAAAGTCACAAATAAAGCCTTCAACACGGTGCAAAAATTATCTGAAGTCACTGCAAGTTTAAGATGGCCCTAGCACCGAATTGAGCGGATTTCTGTCCTGTTGTCTATTAAACTTGCGTAATAGAGTTAAGTACTTCCATACTACATACTGTAAACACCGTTCATTTTTCAACTGGTCGAGATTAAATGTTTAAGTTAAGATCTCAAATACTACGTACATTAAGATTCTAAAATGTGCTTATGCTTGCTCGCAGTCAGTTGTTCTTAAGGTCTTTTGATCGTTAGGCTTGTCGTTTTTGTATAGTTAGTGGTTTATGGTTGCAGGGTATATTTAGACCTGTGAATGTCTTGGAATTTTGTATCTTTGCTTTGCTGTCTAGTTGATGCTTTTCTCGTTGTTCACATTAAGAATATTAACGCTTCTCGTTTTCTTTGTTTTGAATCACTTGCACAGATTTAAGTAAGACTGCATGTACAATAATATATTAACCAAACGTTCAATGACTTACATTTTCAAATGTATCAAACTTTAATGGCATTACAGATCTAGAGCTCTTTGCAATCAATGGATTTATCTGTGCATATGCTGTTAAGAAATTGAAAATAAAACAAATAATCGAAACATAACAAGTCAAAACAAAATACGTTTGCTCAAAATCACGGCGGAAAGTTTGATATAGTGAATTTTTTACCACCTGATCAATATCTTCCCTAATGGCCGACAAGCTATAAAATGAAAACGTCACTTTCATTTGCTCATTGGATCAATGTAGGAATTTTACTAATGGATACAGAAATTACACTACAACATCAGTCTTCAAACTTAATTGCATACAAAATAGCGAAGGTAGCGAGTAATCCTAACACTCTTCCTAATTCTAACCATAAGGCATTTATAAATTGATAAAGAATTTGCTCAAAAAGACAGTGCAAAATTATTTGCTTGAATATGAATGAAAGACCTACCAAAACCCCTAGTCCCTCTTAATATAAAAAAGGAGATGCAGTGTGATTGCAAATAAAACAACAATCCATAGTCAGCTATAAAAGGACCCGACATGACAAAAAGTTAAATGTTTGAAACCAGAAAACTAACAACCTTATTTATAAAAAAAATAAAATACAAAAACAAAACTAGCATACATAATCCAACTACAACCGCTGAGGAGTTACAGGATCCTGACCGGTGACAGATACATAAAGAATGTGGCGGTGTAAACATATTTGTGGGTGCTCAACCCTCCTCATTACCTGAGACAATGGTGAACATGTAACATGTCATCAAACTGTACAAACTGTTCACTGTGTGGATGTCTTACCTCAATTGATTGGTCGGAAGTATCCAAAGAACTAACACAAAACAATTGATACGAAGCACCGATAAAAGAGTACGGTCTCGCACTTACTGAAAGGTAGTTCAAAGCCAATAACAAGTTATACATTAAAAATGTTCCCCAGAATTAATCATTACACACCCAACAGATTAACTGTAAGAGTGTGAAAACATTTGAGAAACGTATGACCTTGCGCAATGCCAAAATGTAAGTAAACAGTATCGAGAGAATGTATCATCATATCTATTCATAATTGTTTAGGAATATTTAGATTAAGTCTTAAATTGATAACATTTAAGAATAAGTTTGATAGGTTTTTTTAGAGATCAACTAGTTTACATAAATCGTATCTAAATTTGTGGACTCTATAAACAACATTATCGTAACAAATAGGATGTGATATCACGTTTTTAGTAAAAAGTCTACAGATAATAATTCAAATATGTGTATCTTTCAAAAAAAATAGTAAAAGCTAATACAAATAAATTTTTGGTAACAAAATTGCCGACCTATTCGTTTCTCGTTAAACATAGATAAGGTTTATTATAATTTTAAAGGTCACTACAAACACGAGCATAACGAACAATTTGAGGAATATACAAACGGTAAAGAGAGGCCACAGAACCATCGCCATCCAAAAAATACACAAAAATCGTCTCTTAGGATTATTTTTTTTTCGTTCTTTATCGGTCGTTGAACGTCAAAATCCTAAGGTAAAAAAAAAGAGAAAATGAATGTTCTTTTTCTTGCATTCATACAATCGCAACGAAATATACACATGTAACATGTAGAAAATACTGGAAAATTAACAAAAAATGGTGAATGATTATAAAAATGTAAAAGAAACCATGTACTATGGAATTTAAACTTTGTTCGAAATCCTCTATGCGAAGTGGATAATGATTTACAATATGGTTTTGATCTCCCATGAGGCAAAATTTTCAAGAAACTTAGCTTCAAATACACTCAATCAAAGTTAACATTAGAAAACTTGCTATACTTGTTAGGTTCCTTTTGGCTATATAGCTCCTCAGCACTTTAACATAATTAGCTTTCAATTATTACTTTTGACCGTTTCTATCTGACAAGAAAAGCGTTTTGGATAAATCGAATCAATAAAGTTTTGTTTTTATTTATTTTTTATTTATTTTTTTAATTGATAATGCAAAATACAACCTATTAGAAAAACATTGTGGTATATTATGCAACATGGTATTAATTTCAGTTTAAACCATACATACAATTTTCCGTGTCTCCCAAAGTTTCGTCCATATCATTGGTCTGTGTGGATTTCTCTTCTTTGAACTTGACGCCAGTAGATTCACTCTGCATATCTTGTTTGCTACTCAACATATCAGTACCTGTAATTGTTTTGTTATTATTCTTAACGTTATATAAATATACACTAGGCTATGTGGAGTGAATGTCAGTGAAACAATTATACATCATAGACTAAATGACGCATATGTAAGAAAACTCTATGTCATCGTTCGGGCATCAACAATGAGAAAAGCTATTGATAAACAACACAACATACGAAACACAAATATAACTAGGTTTGCCATTGCGAGCAATAGCGGGTGTCACCCGGTCCGCCAATTGCAACTAAACTGCTGCCATTTTGAAATTCTAAACTGTGAATGCACATATATGCTTGATGTGGTTCATAAGTGTTTCTCGTTTCTCGTTTTTTATATAGATTAGACCGTTGGTTTTCCCGTTTGAATGGTTTTACACTAGTAATTTTTTGGGGCCCTTTATAGCTTACTGTTCGGTGTGAGCCAAGGCTCCGTGTTGAAGACCGTACTGTGACCTATAATGGTTTACTTTTATAAATTTTTACTTGGATGGAGAGTTGTCTCATTGGCACTCATACCACATCTTCTTATATCTATTGACGACACATATTTCTGTATAGTTACTGAAATTTTGAAGCAATTTTTTTCCACATTTTTCCTGTTCCCCTTGTACCAACAGTCATTTTGAAAATTCAATAGTCAAACGGCAACTCTACACATGCCATATACCATTTCTGGAATGTTTCATTAAGTTTCGAACACTTTCCTATCTTCACATTTGTGATGTTTCCATGGCAATGTCAGCCATCTTGAAAATGCCATACCCCAATTGCACATCTGTACATGATGGGTATTATCTTTGTATAGTTCTATCAACTTTGATCCATTCAATTCATAGAGCTAGACTGGACGAGAAGTGTGGATGAAAATTGTAATAAAAAATAGAAAAAGAAAAAGAAACGTTGAATAACACCGTTCGCAATGACAACATAAAAAGCTATAATATAGGGTATAGATAGATATTTCTTTTAATTCCGTGTTATGAACAAAATGATGTGCGTGATAATAGTCGCAGAAATAACATCCCAACGATACATACAGTACAAATACATTTAGAGGTAAACACAAGCAGAAAGAAGAGCTGATTTAATCCTAACTACGGACAGGAATACGCACATGCGGTGGGGGCAAACTAAAAAAGATATCTTTCAAACCAACCATTATAATTCATCTACTAGTACTTTAAAAAAAATATCAACAGCAAATACCATGCATATAAAACTGAACTGTGTATTTACGTCACAAGTACATATATTTTGATCATAGATTGTGATGTCATGGAACGGAAACTACTCGTTTGTACTTTTGAACTAGGTGAACTTTAAGACAGAAAAACATGGAAACCTTAGATAAGAAGTGCTTATTTAAGTACATAATTACGCTAGATTCACCACAACATGTGTCTTTAAGAGCACCAGCCAGATATATATTTTTTTTTATTACGTAATTTTTGCCATTTTTTTAGAAACATTTGAATTTCACTATCTTTCGACGGTGACATGTAAAAAGCTTAAATTGCCTAGCATATTGTTATTGACGTCTATAGATATATCAAGTACTTCCGCTAAGGAACAGCCTTTTTGTCAATTGTAAGCTTTTACTCCGTTTTTCAGACCTCACTAGAACTTTTATGATAAACAGATCTATGGTCTACTTATAGTTAAATTCCTTTACATATTGGTTTTGTAAAGTGTTTTGCAACGTCCATTAAAATTATTTTTTCCACTTAAAAAAGTAAATACAAATTAGACCCCCCTCTTAAAATGAATCATTACAATAAAACTTAAACAAAATACACGTGTTTTGTGCATCTGCACTTCAATCTCAATGCAACTTACTTTCTTGCGATGGCTTGAAAGTAACATCAACTTCCAAAATGCGTTCATCTTTAGTGTTCATATTACACTTATCGATGATCATCTTTATAAACCGTCGAACTGTTTTATTAAACATATCTGATTTTTCAACAGCATAGGGCGAAACCAACGTTCCAATTACAATTGAACCAATGCGAATAAATTTAATGGTTATATTCCCATCGAAAGTTCTCTCTAGCTCTATAGATTTTGCTATTTTCTCCAGCTCTGCTTTATTTGTGTTATCATCTGTTTTAATTTTCCATTCAACAAAGTAATATTTATGTTCTGAAAAAGAAATTCTGGTTTATATGGATTTATAAGATAATAAAATTTGTATTACAAAGTGACAGAACAAACAGTGTAAAGCGTAGTATAAAATGTCAAAATTTCTATATATCCGAATTTGATTTTTGTGCTTATTCATCCTTACTACTTTCTTTACTTTTGAATAATGATCTTAGAATTATATTATCTTTTATTGTTTATCTAATGTATACTGATCGTTAACCTTATAAATTTTGTTACTGGTAATTGATCTGCATTTAACTGTTTTGGTAGTAAATGAGCATTCCGTCTTTTTAGTAGCTAAGTTACTGCAGATAATAGGTCTAGTTCTTTACTCAAATTAGTTAACTCTGATGCACAAAAAAAATTGGTTGGAGGTTTTTTTAATATATTTAAATTTTGTAACGAGTTTGTCTTATGTTCATAGTCAAGATTTATTTATCAAATCCAAAACAAAATAAATAAATATTTTTCATTTAAGAAGAGATAACTCAGACAAACCAATTGTATCATTGAATATACTATCAGTTTGTCTATATTTCTTGTACGGAAAAAAACATGTAATAGCCTGAGAGCATTCTTTAATAGCTATAGTCTCATATTTTATTGCTCAAATATATCAATTGATTTTCTTTCTATTACTTTCATTGTAAAATCCTGGCAAGGAATTAGAATTGTTCCCAACCCTTAGCTTAACAAATTAGCTAAGTTGCCTATATTTTTACAAATATCACGGAATAAGTACCCTTAGGCAAACTATATGAACATTTTTACATTTTTGTTAACACTCCTAAACCAATTCAATCTATAATTCTGAGTATAAATTAATAGTATATATTTATGCTCAAATATGTACTTTTTAGTAGCGCTTTATTCATCTTGCTAAAAATTGTGTTGTACAAATGACAAGAAACTATAAGGAATGTACGTTAACCATAGCCCTCCCCCAAAAGATAATAACATAAGCGGTACAAATTCCAATGCACCAAATGCTCATTTCGACAATTAAAGTCTCCGCAGTGATGCTCTAAGTCAACATTTAAAAAAAGAAAAAACAAGTTGAAGAGCCGATAAAAAGCAAGCTGGACATAAATTAAAGCTAAACCTAGACATGCAGTCAGAGTACAGCACGAGGGAGTTACATTCCTTCACCTAAAATGATTTCTAAAATTTAATAACATCAGTTTTCAATAAAAACAATATCCATATTTTGAATATGACTTCGCATGGCGGTTTGGGCTTGCACAGCAGGTGACCTTTGCTATGTCAATGCAACAGGTCTTGCTCCTTTTGCAGTGCATGTGATTCCCTCAGTTTTTTGTGTTACCTTAATGGGTATCATCTTAATCGATTTATGTGATTTTTAACATCGGTAAACGACATTGCCTTAATTTTTCATGCCAGTTTAAAGTATTGCTTCTTTGCTTGTTATACTCAAGGGAGGCTAACAGTCTACCAGCAGAAAAATGATGGTTTGTTTAAGAGGTAAGACAAACTTAAAAACAATTTTACAATAAAATCAGATAAAATTGCAATTAATAAATTTGGTGCGTCCGAATTGCTTTTTTGGGTCATCATGAATGCTCAAACCTGAAAATATTGAGAGCCAAGTACTAGAATTCTTGAGATGTTTTATGAGCAAAATGGACCTTTAAAGCAAACATCCATCTACGTTCGATTGTGTTTGAGGGAGTTGGTACCTAAGTTGCAAAAAGGCAAGTAATTGTATTGTGAGTACCATTTGTCGAACATGCAGTTGATGCTAATCCTTGACATTCATCTATTCCATTATCTGAGTCATCTGTCTTGATCTTTTTACCTAAAATAGATGTTCAGCTATCGTTTAATTATTTGCTTAAATCTATATGTTCTGCATTTCTATGGGTACGATGTTATGATATATTATGAGGATGTCAATTACATGGCGGAAGTCATAAGTGGAGCAGTAGCTATCTACCAATACGGACCACATAATTCAATTCTACTTTTTAACAGGGATTTTATTTGTTTAGTTTTCAGTTTTCACCTCCATATGTACCAAGTGTTAGATTAGTTTTATTGATATTAAAGAAATTTCTTGGTATTCCTTAACGGAAGATTTTATACACACAGAAGAAGAAGTATACTTAACAACAAAATTATTTTCATTTACCTGTGTATAATATGACGCAGGTTTCTTCAAAAGTGATGATTTTCTAAAAATTGTTTGACATTTTACAGTGATATCATACTTTAACTTTGTTTAAACCTGTTTATTTACTTTTGACTTTAATTATTTATCCCTTGTAATTTTTTACTAACTGTGTATTTGCATTCAGGTGTCACAGGTCAAATTAATTCGTTCTTTGTGTGTTAATTTACATTTTTTGATTGAGTTAAGCCTTCCAATTGATATTTTATAGTGTGTTTTTCTATGTTGTGATGTTATACTATTGTTTCAGAAAAGGGAGAAGGTTTGGTACCATTACAACGTTTAATCCCGCTGCAAATGTTTGCACCTGTCCTAAGTCAGGAATCTGATTACAGTAGTTGTCGTCTGTTTATATAGTCCATACGTGTTTCTCGTTTCTCGTTTTTATATAGATTAGACCGTTGGTTTTTCCGTTTGAATGGTTTTACACTAGTAATTTTTTGGGGCCCTTTATAGCTTGCTGTTCGGTGTGAGCCAATGCTCCGTGTTGAAGGCCATACCTTGACCTATAATGGTTTACTTTTATAAATTGTAACTTGGATGGAGAGTTGTCTCATTGGCACTCATACCACATCTTCCTATATCTATTCTATGTAATTTTTTTGTGAGTTAATATTTTACTCTAATGAATTTACTTAAATTTAATAACACGACACAAGTTTTGTGTAAATAACTTTTGTTTTGTGTAGTAAACTCCTTAAAGTGGTCAAAGCATGGTATCTGATGTAATGATACAAATATTTCCATTATGCAATTATCATTGATATCAATAAAAACATGATCAAGTGTTTAAAAAAATAATACACAAGATGATGAAACCAGAAGAATTACATTTTACTATAGGAGTGTTTCGGGAAAGTTGTTTTGATATGGTCGTATCATGTTACATTGTTCTATGCATTTTCCCAGTTTTTACACAGGCGATTTTAGCAAACAGCGTGATTTTAATAAGTTTTCACCTAAAATATTCGACTACAACTTTCTCTTTTGATCCCTTCACCTGACGAAAACCTTAAATTGATGTGACATTACAGAACAGTTTATATAATTTTTTATACAGACAAAGCTGTGTTAATCACAATACTTCATCGATATCTGACGTTATCACGTGACTGCTGTGTGTAAAATTGGTTGGACAGGGAAACAGCTTTTATCAGAACAAAATTTTTGAATACCGTCTATCATTGGCATATCCTTGACGTTTGCAATCACAAGCAACTGTTCAAACTTCTCCAACATAACTTCTGAAATAAGGTAATCTTAAATCATATTTAACAACAAAAGAATTCTTCTTTTTATATTTCAAATTACGTATTGGAATGATTAACATTGTGATTGTAAATTTATAGTTCATTAATTATATAATTGCACTTAATTTTGTTTATAAACTCTCAGCGGTTAATTAACCTAAGACGTGTGAGTATGTTCTGTTTATGTCCTTTTTTTTTGTTATGCTTTAAACGATTTATATTGTGGTTTTATTAGTGCAATACATTAAATAATAGTATTTTGCTATTGACCAGTTCTAAATTTACTGCAAGTACAATAATTTACAGATACTGAAATAAGTGCATCTAATTAATAATACAAAATCTTAGCAAGACTACACATTAATACATGTATACAGACATATGAAATGCTCAAAATTGACATTTAACAGTGGTTTTATTTTACTGTCTTCGACGTATAAACAATAATTTAATGTTTTGGCTAGAAAGAAATTTACCCTTTTCCCCGCATTCTATATCAGTATTTGTTGACTATTTTTGAAATTGGATGTTACACTGCCTCTCTGTTTATAACATAATTACTAAAGATAAGAATTAAAGATTCAAACTTTCAAACTTACGATGATTCTGATTTCTCTCTAAACTTTCACGTTCTTGTCTTTCTATAACTTCTTGAATCTTTCGTTTAAAAACGTCATCAGAAATACTGTTTATGACGTTGTTATTATTTCCGAAAATAATATTTTCAGTTTGTACATTGACAACTGCTACTTCCTGTGTATTGTTATTTCTGTTTTCGTCTGTTTCAGTATCATGCTTAAAACCAGGTGCGGATACAGTTGTCTCAGAATGAAGCCTTGACTGAAATACAGATTCACATAGTATTATTTATGAACAAATGAACTGAAAAACAAATAAAAAAGTCTGCAATTCAGTATGAATGTGATAAGTGCTTTTTAATTTTGAGGTCTGATGTATTGTTAAAAAAATCTATAATACATGTTTATAAGCTTAACATACGCCATTTAAAGCTTATTTAAATTAAGATTATATATACACTCCATTTCCTTTTATTTTCTATACAAAAAAACAAATTTCTGTAGAAAAAAAGGTGTTTTATCATGACGTCTGTAAAACGTTCAAAGTAATAACTTCAATTTTACAATTAGAATCCTTGGTTTAATGGTTTCATTGTAAGCAGCAACACTCATGACATTCTTGTCATTGAATTTAGCTACCTTCATTGTCATTTTTGGCTTGTGTTTCCTTTCATGATTTCCTTGATAGAGGGTTACTGCTCACAAGGAAGCTATTTCACCAAGAGTTGAAAGTGGTGAAGTTGAAATCATCCCTTCGTAAATTTTACTGACGCCATTACGAGTTGGTTGACCTTTATGGAATATCTGTTTCACAGAAGACGACGGATATGTTCCAGTTGTCGTAACTACAATCTCGTCCCCTTCCCCCGAATGTGACCTACCGAATTAGACATATCACCGGGCTCGTACTTACATGATCAATACGACAGTGCCACATGTGGAGCAGGATCTGCTTACCCTTCCGGAGCACCTGAGATAACCCCCAGTTTTTGGTGGGGTTCGTGTTGCTCAGTCTTTGGTTTTCTATGTTGTTTTGTGTACTGTTGTTTGTTTGTCTTTTTCTTTTTTAGCCATGGCGTTGTCAGTTTATTTTCGACTTATGAGTTTGAATGTCCCTTTGGTATCCTTCGCCTCTTTTTTAGTTAAAACAAAACATGATGCGAAACATTTACGGTATGTATGGTATCCTTTTTTTAGTTTCATTGGATAGATTCGATCACCATATACATCAAACTGAATTATTCAATAGAGAAGCTTCATCTAGATAGCGGAACAGTAAATTGATAAATAATGCTAAATTCTTTTCTATATTCTTGAAAAGCTCCTGTATGAAATCTGCCGTATACAAGTCAAGAACCAAGTCGACAAAAGAGAGGCGAAAGATACCAAAGGGATATTCAAACTCATAAGTCGAATACAAACTGACAATGCTTTAGCAAAAAACGAAAACGACGAAAAGACTAACATTACACAACACAGAAAACTAAAGACTGATCAACACGTAGCCCATCAAAATCCGGGGGTGATCTCATGTGCTCCCGAAGGGATAGCAGATCCTGCTCCACATGTGGCACCCGTCGTGTTGCTCATGGAAATAGAAGTCGCGTGGAAGAATTGCATTTCATAGGAAAATAAAACATAAAGACTTTGTTTTATTAGCAATGCAATCATCTTGATCCTTTATATTTGAGCTTGTATACCCCAAACAAATACACCATATAACTAACGGTACTCACACGTAAGCGCCCCTCCATACACAAAAGATAGCCTATTTGTTCGGAAACTGGGAACTGTGAAACTTTGTCATGGTTGTATTCAGAAATTTATGGTTTAGATATTCTATAAAATTCCTTCTGCAATAATTGGGTAGCATATTTGCAACTCTGATTCACGGTATGGACCAACAGAAGGAGTTAAGTAAACATCACACCCGCACGAAATTATATCACTAACCCTTCAACAACTGGAGTCGTCTTGAACATTATGTTTTAAAAAACCTTGTTACAATTTCAGGTCTAATCATTACAAAGTAGCAATATAAATAACTTGACATTAGATATGCTATCGTAACAAAAAAATCTTTTTCACATCAAAATCTCATTTTAGAAATTGGCGCCTTTGAACTAGGATCTACGACAAACATGAAGATTGGAGCTTTCTCATTTCAACCTCAAAATTATCAATAGTTAAATCTCCTCTGCCTCATCGATTGACGTGTTTAAATTGCAATTAATATATTACGCACGTTCATGTTTACATTATACGGACTTGCTAAACAGAAATGTGCAAAATTGAACACTATCCTTGGTCATTTATGATTGCGATTTCAAGAAATTGTTCATAATATAATGCTATCAAAAATTAGAAAGCGAGTTTTTATGTTTTCGAAACATATTTCTTCGCAATTTTCGCAATTACAAAAATATCCCAAAAATCTCTGAAATAAAAATTCAATGAAACGGCGCGTTGTATCATGGAAGATAACTACTTACTTCCACACTGAACTCCTCTTGCATCATATCCCAATATACCTCAATGTCACACCATTCTGGAGAGGCCATTCTTAAAATTGATAAGCGTTTGACAAATTCCTTTTCATTCTTCCGGCTTTTTAATACTCGTAAAAAGTTTAAAATGATTTCTCTTGTGTCAATCCATATGCGGTTAAACTGTTGATCACTTATATTCTTAAAGCAATTATGAGACACTTCTTGTCTTTTTTCATAAAGGATCCGAATCCACTTATGTTGTTCATGCTCTAAATTGTCTGCTAACAACAAATACTGCACAGTCCATATATCTAAATCATCTAAATAAATTTTCTTAAAAGCAACACTGGTAATTTCAGACATTGAAAATTCCTCAGGAAATGTAAATAGCGATTGAAATAATTGTTTGCTCCCTTGAACACAGCTATTTTGACTATTTGAATCTGAACACATGTGACAACTGAAATATTTCAAATGATGATAAAGTTGAACTTTGTGATCCGTCACAAATTTTGCTAATTTTTCATTTGTAGGATCATCGTCTAAACAGTTGTATATGAAGAATTCTTCCAAACTGTCTTTGCATAAATCGTATAACAGATACAGCAGCTGTAAAATTTTTCTATCTGCCATTTTTCTAAAATTAATGAGGTGAATAGTGTTATTATTATAAAGACAACTTTCAAGTTCATGCACGCTCCCATTCGTTTCCTATGTCACAATGCTTATGGTATTACGTTACAGTCAGAACCGATTTGTCATTTACATCGTGTGACCTCAGGTTTTACTAATTCATCAGAAACAACTCGAAATGGGCCTATAAGTAGCTTATGATTCTCAATATAAATCAATAATACTTATTCCTACTTTCCAAATTAACAAAATGGAATAAATATACCCTTATTTCTGGTATATATGATTATGCAAAATTCCCTGTAGTCGAAAACACAATTATGTTATAGAAAATACATCTCAACGACCGAAATTTCTCCATTTAATTTGGCAATATTTTTCATAAAAGATCTGTTCCGACACATGGTCACATTTATGTTAAAGACCCGATCTACCTGATTTGGAACCAAAATATGTTTTCTATTCTGGGGTTGAGATTGTAACATTTCAACTACTGAGCACGCGATATTTTAGGACTTTAACAGTACTTACAAATAATTCTAGACACTTACAAATAAAATTCCGAATTTGAAATGGTAATAGATGTTGCAAAGTATATTAAAGACATTTGTGAGGAAAAAATGTTTTGAGTTCTCGTTGGGACTGTATGTATTGAATCAATTTGGAAACGAAGATGAATTGTTGTACAAGAAATTGGATTTGAATCCAATTAAGCACACCAAATTTGGACATCTCCGAGGAACAAATAGTTTGAGTTCCCTCGGGCCTTGATGCTATCGAATTAACTTCGAAACGAATATATCATGTATATTGAAATGATATGGAATATTTCATATCCTGGGGAAATTGAATATTATTGTGATACAACATGAGTTGGAATTAAACACATTTGTTACCGAGTGTAATCCTCTACCTATTGTTTTAAAGAGAATTAAAGACATTCTTTTCGTATGAGGTATTTAAAATCCTGTTTAAATCACATATCTTTGTTCCCTAACGAATGCTATTTTTGTATGAAACTCTGATCCACACAAAAAAAATGTTCTGAAACTGACATCTTGTGTGTCCCTGTCCGAGGTTAGGAAGCTGTAATTCAGTGGTTATCGTTTTGGTGCTGTATATATATCATTATATTTGTTTTTCGTTTATTATTTTATACATAAATCAGGTCGTTAGCTTTCTTTTTAAATTGTTTTATATTTGTCATTTTGGGGCCATTTATATCTGGCTATGCCGTATTGAGTTTGCTCATTGTTAAAGGCCGAACGATGACCTATAGCTGCTAACTTTTACTTCTTTTAGTCTCTGGTGGAGAATGGTCTCATTGGCAATCATACCACATCTTCTTATTTTTATATTATATAGATGCTTGATTTCTTGTTTTGTAACATATTTGCTATGCTTGAATGACGTGTTTTTCAACTAACAATCGGCTTTTCCATAGGAACCAAATGTGTTTCTCTTTTTGCCGACTTTTCCTTTTAGTCATATGAGGCATATTTCATGCAGAAGCGTCTTTGAAAAAATAAATAGAGGCTAGCATTATCCTTTAAATTCATGTTTTGCTGTAAAGATGATTTCCTCTCACTTTTTACTAGTAATTCAATGTTTGGTGACTATGTTAAAGGCATCTAATCCATCGAACATGAAATAAAGGATACTCCAGATACAGTTAAGTCTTCCTCATATCTTGACTTACATTTAGAAATTGACATTGAGGGTCGGTTGTGAACAAAACTTTACGACAAACATTACAAAAGAGATGACTTTAGCTTCCCAGTTGTAACCTTTCCGATTTTTTTATCAACATTCCAGCAGCGCCTACATATGGAGTACATATCTCCGAGAAACGGTTTTAAGAGCTTGGAGTTCCTATAAATATTTCCTTGATAAAGGGTTTTACAGGGAATCTGCTTGACCAAACGTTCCAAGTACTGAAATTGGAATAATCATTTCCAAAAATTTTACAAAAGCCATCACGAGTTTGAGACCGTTATGGAATAAAAGAGGGACGAACGATACCAGAGGGACAGTCAAACTCATGGATCGAAAACAAACTGACAACGCCATGGCCAAAAATAAAAAGACAAACAGACAAATAATAGAAGGGAATAACTGTTTCACATATGACAGCGGATATGCTCTAATTGTCGTTACCCCAATCCCGTCCTCTTTCCTCAAAAGTGACCGTATGAAATTTATCAACGACTAACTTACATCATCATCACGACGGGTGACATATGTGAAGCATAATCTGATTTCTATTCTTGAGTACATGAGATAACCCCTTTTTTGGTACAGTTTTCACATCCTCTAACATTAGAAAGTGCTATAGCAATAGCAATCGAATACGAGGCTTTTGAAGGGTCAACTAGCATGACTTGTGAAATAAAGAAACCTAAAGAACCCCAGAGAGATATTGGCGTTAATGCCGATAAAAAAGTAGAAAATAGGGTACATAAGGAAGAAAATAAAGATTTGACAGAGTTATGAACTGTTTTCAAGAATTGAATAAAAGAATTGATGAATTAAGTAAAAACAATCCCTGAAAAATGCACTAGATGCTCAAGATTTGCCCATAACAGCACAGAATGTAAAACTCCTTTCTGTAACATATGTAAATCAATGGGTCATTTTACAGCAAATTGTAGGTCAAATAAGGATAAGACTGAACTAAACAGACAAAATAAAGACAATCAAAACAGTAATGATTTAAACCAAAAGGGGCAGGACTCGGGGCCGCGATTCTAGCCCAAAATACTGAAACCAGGCCCACTATAAAGATAAATGAAATTAAACAGTGTGGTCTGTTTGCAAAGGATTTTTTTGAAAATCAGAAATTTGACTTTTTAGTAGATACAGGGTCAGCTGTCAAATGTATTTCTAAGTCCTCTTATGATAAACTTAAACTTAAAATAAAGTATGAACCCATCTCTACTACTTTAGAAGCAGCTAGTGGAGAAAATCTTAAAGTTTATGGCAAAGTTAAATTATCTTTTAAAATAGATGGTGTTTCATTTGAACATGACTTTATTGTTGTAGAACTAGATAACATGTCAGGAATATTAGGCATAGACTTGGTAAATACATCTGAAGCTCAATTAAACATTTCAAAAGCCTTACTCATTATGCCAGATGAAACTGTGATAAAATTAAAGAAAATACAAAGCAACAGTTGCGCTTTAATTAGATTAAAAGAAAGAATGTTAGTACCCGCTAATACTGAAACAGCTTTTAAAATTACAGTTCCAAATCATATGAGGGAAAATAACATGTTATTAGAACCTAATGCACATCTAGCAAAGCAAGGAATTTTAATATCCAATGCATTAATAAATGCCAAAGATAATAAAGTTGTCATTTCTGCCCTTAATTGCACAGATAGAGATATAACACTGAAGAAACTAAAAGTTGTAGGAAATATTCACTCTGTTAGTAAAATTTCTGAGTCTTTAGGGTTTGACCAATCAGATACTGAGGAGTTACCTGAACATTTTAAATGTATGCTTGAAAAAGTGTCCTCTAAACTTTCAAAAGAACAAAAAGAGAAAATAAAAAGGCTTATTTTTAACTTTCAGGATATTTTCTTGGGACCCGAAGGAAAATTAGGTCGCACTGACATTGTTAAACATACTATAGATACTGGTGATGCTAGGCCCATTAGAATTCCTCCGAGGAGAGTTGCTCTTGCTCAGAAAGACATAATTAGTCAAGAAATTGACAAAATGTTGAAAGATGACATAATAGAGCCCAGTAATAGTCCCTGGAGTTCCCTAGTCTTACTCTGTAGGAAAAAGGACCAGACATGGAGATTCTTTATTGGTTATAGAGGCCTTAACATTTTGACCCGCAAAGATGTCTACCCTTTACCCCGTATTGACACTTCTTTAGATTCGTTAGGAGGGAATAAATGGTTTAGCACGATCGGCCTAGCTTTCGGTTATTGGCAATGTTTAGTTGATGAAAAAGATAGAGCAGAAACAACCTTTTCTTGTCATCGTGGATTATTTCAATTTAAAGTAATGCCTTTTGGCCTAGGCTTGTGCAATGCACCTAGCTGTTTTGGGAGACTTATGGAAATTGTATTACAAGGCTATCAGTGGGAAAGATGTCTATGTTATTTAGACGATGTTATCATTTTTGGACCTACTTATAAAAAAGCACTTGAAAATGTAGAATTTGTTTTTGAAGGATTTAGGCAAGCAAATTTAAAATTAAAACCCCAAAAGTGTTCTTTATTTCAACATCAGGTTTTATTTTTGGGACATTTAATTACGGATGAAGGCATTGCTTGTGATCCCTTAAAAATTGAAGTTGTACGTGATTGGCCTACCCCTAAAAATATCAATGAGGTTCGTAGTTTCCTAGGATTAGCAGGATATTACAGACGTTTTATTCCTGAATTTTCTGACATTGCCTCTACTCTCACTCATTTAACTAAAAAGGGGATACGTTTTGAATGGACCAACCCGTGTCAAGAGTCTTTTGAATGTCTTAAAAGCAAATTAATGTCTGCTCCTATTTTAAATTACCCCTCAGAAACTGGTCATTTTATTTTAGATACTGACGCCAGTGGACATGCCATTGGTGCAGTTCTTTCACAAATTCAAGATGGTGAAGCAAAAGTTCTTGCCTACGCCAGTAAAATGTTAAGCAACACCCAGAGAAATTATTGTACTACTTACAGGGAACTTTTGGCAGTATTAACCTTTGTGAAACATTTTAGATATTATCTGATAGGTCAAAATTTTAAAATAAGGAGTGATCATGCTTCCTTAAGATGGCTTACGAATTTTAAAAATCCAGAGGGGATGGTGGCCCGTTGGATATCGGTTTTAGATAAAAGTTAACCCTTTAATGGCTGAAAATGATCAAGATTTAGACAATAAAATTCCGTATGCGGACGATATAGAACATAATGAAACAATAACCCATACTGAGGACTCTGAGGCCCTGATAATATAAATGAAAGTCTAGATTTTTCAAATTGGTTAAAAATATGGT